GGCCTGGCGCAGCCGTACGGGCCGCGCGCAGGCCTGGCGCAGCCCGTACGGGCCGCGTGCCGGGTGTACGGGCCGCGCGCAGGCCACGACGGGCGACGGGGGGCGACGCGCGGGTCCCCGTCGCCCGTCGCAGCGCCTCCCGGGGGCGACGTGCCGAGTGACGGGGCAGGAACCCGCCGCGCGCCTCGGGGCACACGGCGGGCAGAGAACCGCCGCGCGCCTCGGGGCGCACGGCGGGCAGAAAACCGCCGCGTGCCTCGGGGCGCACGGCGGGCTGAAAACCCTAGTTTCGACGCCGCGCGCCACGGGGCGCGCGGCGGACAGGGAGTAGCAGTAGCAGTAGCAGAGTAGCAGCGGAAGGCTAGTGGTGGGGCCCACCCACAGGATCGACCCAGGAGGGTCGACCTGCTCTGATACCATGTTAGAAGAACTAGGCAAGAATGATTGAAAGGAGAGGGGGTTGAACTAGCAGGCAGTTGAGTACAAATAGCAAACCCTAGATTGGGCTGTACTCGCTATAGAGTACCCCACTGCAGGCTAGACAATAATAGCATTCTGACAGAGTACCCATGTTGGAATACACCCATCGAGCTGGATGCCTGCTACGTGCCCGGATCGACTCAGTGCGTCTGCTTTGCTGTGTAACCCTGGCTTGTAGACGATGTTGCAGTGGAAATGGCTTTCAAGGAAGTCCAACCACCGTTGTGAGAGCGTCGGCTGCGACTTCAGGTATTTGAGGCTGCAGTGGTCAGTGTATACTGTGGTCTTGGCTCGTTTCAGATAACACCTCCACGCCTTGAAGGCTGTAACTATCCCAAAGGCTTCCTCATCGTGGTTTAGGGAATTTATTTCTACTCTGTGTAGCATTTTAATGAGGTATGTGAAGGGTTGCAAACACGTTTGTGATCCTGCATCAGTACTGCTTCGACTGCCTGGTCACTAGCGTCTACTTCCACCGCATAGTCTCTCTCTGGATCCAACAGGGTGAGCAATGGGATGTGGTTATTGCTGTCTGTACTATTCCATGGCTTGTTGCTGAGGAGTATCCCATATATAAGGAGTAACGTTTTTCAGTAAGTTCATCACTTTGAACTGTACTTTCCAACGTATCCTTATCTTCTCAGATTTCCTAGTGCCACGTGACACTTTACTTTTCTTGCACTCCAATTCCTAGTCCTACAAACCACTTTCCCACATCCGATCTCGCATGCTATATCAACCTTGCTTGTACTTGCCGATATCAACCAATTCTCATTCTATTACTCAGTAACTCCGCCGCCTATTTCGCAAAAACTTTCTTTGCCAAAGTCTTCCGTTGTGTTTCATCTTCGACTTAATGGAGCCCTCTATTCCTAAGCGGATTTGGCCAATGGGCCTTATGCTTAGAATCAGAGCCTTCGCGGGGAGCGACTTCCAACGAGCGACCGTCGACGACGAGACTACGACGTCATCGTCCCGCGGTGCCGACTTGCAGACTTGGAGTCGTCGAGCCAACATGGACGAGACCATGAACGCTCTCCCCAACAACATGGGCAATGCGACCCAACTCATGCGCCAACTCGTAGCGTTGACACTGGAAAATCGTCAGGTACGAGCTGAAATGCAACAGCTTTGTGAATTGACTTCTAACCCCCATGGTCATGACACACCAGCTCCTGTGCCCCACGCGTCAACGGGCACAGAAGTGCTGCCGGAACGTCGAAGTGCACTCAAGCCGTAGAAGCCCAAGCCGCTCGACCCAAGTCAACGCGACGCAAACGTGCGGACGTGGCTCTTCATGCTCAACTACCACTACTATACTGTATCAGTAGGAGGTCTTTCTCCATGGTTGACAGTCGTTGTTGAAACAATCGCTCCAGTGCGACGGTGCTGATCGTAGTTGTCGCCTTATTTGTCGCAGCCCCGTTGGGTTGTCAGCCGTCAGATGGGTTTGGCCTCCGGATCCACCAGCCATCTTGGTCTTGGATCATGTGCCGCTCACCCAGTTTCGGTTAAGCGAATTTTACGGAAGTGGGGACGCGAAGAATCCGTGAGTTGCTCCCATACCATGTTACAATCCTAAGATGGACTTAGCCAGGGATCGGCTCAGGGTTGTTCGTAGGTAGTTTTGCAGCAGAAGCGGCCTCATATTGGTTTTTGGGTACCCTGAGCACTCAATATCCCTAGGAGGATAACACTGATTGTCAGTGTCGTCTGGGGTGAAACACTGATTTTACAGGGTATTAGTGTCAGAATCCCTAGGCAAGAATGATGAACTAGTAGAAGTTTGGGTACAAATATGAAACCCTAGTTGGGGTTGTACCCCATATTGGCTACCCACTACAGCCTACAAGCCTACTACTACTACAGTTTAACACACCCCCATAGGCAAAGTGGGGGAGAACAAAGGGTCACAAGACCAGTCCAGCAAAGCAAAGCAACGCCCAGGGTGGATCACAACGTCACCACACTCCGAGCACAAGTAAAGGCCACAAGGCCAGTTCACATGCAGTGCTAGATATAGTACAAGACAAGCAACACAGTGATCAAAACCTAGCAAGCAAGCAACAAGATATATATAAAGTACAGTACAAAGGATGTCAAGCAGTGAGAGGAAGTGAGGAAACGTGGACACAAGGCCTAAAGAAGTACAGTGCCGCTGATGATCACTAGGCGGGAGCGCCTTGGTGAAGATATCAGCAGTGTTGGCCTTCGAGTCCACGTACACAAGCCGAAGCTGACCGCGCTGCTGAAGCTCTCGAGCAAGAAAGTAGCGAAGAGCAATGTGCTTCGTCCTGTGCTCCAGTCTGTGCTCCTGACACAAGGCAAGAGCCGCCTTGTTGTCACCGTACAGAACTGGAGGAGAACTAGGCCGCTCTCCCAAGTCAGTCAGCAGGTAGGTGAGCCAGCGTAACTCCTGTGCAGCCATGGCTGTGGCGTAGATCTCAGCCTCACAACTAGAGCCGAGAACAGAGGAAGAGCGGGTGGACCGCCACGAGACAGAACCTGAGCCAAGGCTGAAGGTGTAACCCTGTGACGACCGCTGCGTAGCCAGGTCGTCCACCCAAGAGGCGTCCGAGTGACCAGTGAGGACAACTCTGTCGCGTCCTCCAAGCACCAGCCCCATGCCTGATGTACTGCACAGGTAATGCAGCACCCTCTTAGCAGCCTCCCAGTGCTCTCGCCTGTGTCTCCCAGGCGCAACGTAACGAGCAAGGATGCTAAGAGGGTACGCGAGGTCAGGTCGCGTGCAAGTCATCAGGTACATGAGGCAGCCTACAAGCTCTGGGTACGGGCCACTCGGCTCTACGGGCTCGTCCGAAGGTGGAGCTGAGAGCGAGTGGCTGGTAGCCAGAGGTGTGGCCTGTGGTGAGGAGAACTGGAAGCCGAAGCGCTGAAGGACCTGCTGCACCATGTGTGACTGAGTCAGGGTGATGGTGCGGCGAGCTCTGTCCCGGGTGATCTGCAGGCCAAGGTAGCTACGCAGTTCACCCAGGTCAGTGCAGGTGTGTCTCTTCTGCAGCTCCGACTTCACACGAGCGAGTGCCTCAGTGTCAGCAGTAGCAAAGACCAAGTCGTCGACGTACACGAGGATGTAGAACGGCGGCAGCGACGTGTCTGTGCGCAGAAACAGCGACGGGTCAGCAGTAGACGGCGCGAACCCAAGAGCCGCAAGAGTAGTCCTCAGTGTGTCGTGCCACTCACGTGGCGCCTGGCGGAGACCGTAGACTGGCCGGCGGAGACTCCACTGGGTACCAGGGGGAAACGACCCAGTAAAGCCAGGTGGGCGGCGCAGCCAGATCTCCTCGTGCAGGCTGCCCTGCAAGAAAGCCGTGCTGAAGTCAAGAGAGTGAAGCTCGTAGTCACGCTGAGCAGCAACGTGCAGCAGAACCCGAAGAGTGGTCATCTTCGGGGTGGGGGAGAAGGTCTGGAAGAAGTCGACCCCCTGACGCTGATTGAAGCCTCTAGCAACGTAACGAGCCTTGAAGACAGGCGGAGAACCTGGCGGCCGCTTCACCCTGAAAATCCACATGCCATCGACGATGTTCGCCCCAGGAGGGGGAACCTCGTCGACGTAGGTGCCTGTGGACTTCCAGGATGCCATCTCTGCGTCCATGGCTGTCTGCCACTGAGAGGAGTAGGGACCCGAGATCGCCTCTGCGTAGGTGCGCGGAGTGGGGATGTCTAGTGCATCCGGGTCTCCCTCAGGGGCAAGCAACCAGGCCACGAGATGAGGTACAGCAGCCGCAAGTGAGTCAAAGTCCTCCTGCCTGTCCTCAAGGACGTCCGTGCCAAGAGCACACTCACCCCCGACGGACGGAGGACAGACTGACGCAGACTCTGACTCAGCGACAAGGCTAGCAGCGTAGTCTAGACGACAGGCAGCAGCAAAGTCAACCAACTCAGCGACCAGAGCAGACGCAGCCGAGGACTCAAAGGTGGGGTCAGTGACAACAGTAGCAAGGAGACGCGTGACTGTAGGGTGCTCAGCGCGATACCGGTCAGACTCAGGGTCCGGAACGGCAGGCAAAGAGGACGCAGGAGGAGACGGTAGAGGGACACGCCGAGGAGCAGTAGAGGGACGCAGAGTCATGTAGTGAGTGCCTGGGACAGGCGGAGGACGCTCACGACGGACACGACTACCAGTGCGAGCAGGACGAACAGGCGACGCAGGACGAGACTCAGGCTCACGACGCTCTGTAAGACCTCCTGTGGGACCAGTATAAGGAGAGGGAGCAGGGAGAGGCGAGGCAGGTGGTAACTGTGACTGTGGCTGGACAGGCGGAGGACACTCTACGGAGGGAGGAGGACAAGGAGGAGGAGCCTGCCCAAGAACCTGCTGAAGGAGCGGTACGAAGTACGGTCGCGGCCGCGCAGCGTCTCTAGAAGCAGAAGGGACTCCAGCGGCCGGGTCCTCAGCACCAGTAGGAGCTCCAGCGTCCGGGTCCACAGCACCAGCAGCAGCTCCACCGGCCGGGTCCCCAGCTCCAGCAGCAGCTCCACCGTCCGACTCCTCAGTACCAGCAGCAGCTCCACCAGGTGGGTCCGCAGCACCAGCAGCAGCGCCACCCCCAGAGTCGGGAGCTCCAACTCCGCTAGCACCGCCAACGCCAGAGTCCCCAGCTCCAGCAGCTCCAGTCGCAGCGCTCCCAGAACAGCCAGTCCCGGCAGCTCCAGTACCCCCAGTACGAGCACCCCCAGGACGAGCAACTCCAGCACCCCCAACTCCAGCCGAGCCACTAGGACGGCGAAAGCGTCGGACGTACCAGTCACGAAGCTGCTGCGGTGTGAGAGACTGCTCAGCACCCCGAACCGGAGCACCCCCAGACACAGTAACCCGAGGCTCCGTAGGCTCAGTAGCAGCACCCCCAGGCTCAGTACCCGCAGGCTCAGTACCCGCAGGCTCAGCACCCCCAGTCGCAGCACCCCCAGGCTCAGCACCCCCAGGCGGCAAACTCTCAGGCACAGTACCCTCAGCCCCAGCACCCGCAGTCCCAGCACTCCCAGGCCTCGCACCCGCAGGCTCAGCACCCCCAGGCGCAGCACCCCCAGGCTCCGTACTCTCAGGCACCGTACCCTCAGCTCCAGCACCCTCAGTCCCAGCACCCCCAGGCCCAGCACCCCCAGGCTCAGCACCCCCAGGCTCAGCACTCCCAGCAGCACCACCCGCAGCAGCACCTGAGTCACCTGTGACCTCGACAGGCTCAGCGACGGGAGGAGGGTCTACCTGAGAGACACCTGAAGGAGCAGGACCCTGAGGGGGAAGGGGGTCTACCGGAGGGGGACCAGGAGCAAGGAAAAGCGGCGGGGGAGGGAGGGGGGCAGTGCGGTAGGGGAAGAGACGGTAAAAGGGGACCGACTCGTCAAAGGTGACATCCTGAGAGGCGAAGACCCGGCGCGAGGTGGGGTGGTAAAACTGCCAGCCAGGCGCGTCAGGGACAAAGCCAAGGAAGACACAGGGAAGCGTGCGGGAGGAGAGCTTGTCCGCAGACGTATCGCGGACAAGGGCACGAGCACCCCACACCCGGAAGCGCGACGCATCGCCAACCTCCCCCGTCCAACGCAGTGTGGGCGAGGTCTCCGGCAAGGAGACACGGGGCCAGAGGTTGAGCTGATGCGCGGCGTACCGGACAGCAAACGGCCACAGAAAATGGGGAGCCGCCGCGTGGACCAAGGAGGTACGAGCGACCTCCATGACCAGGCCAATGCGACGCTCAGCAACCCCATTCTGCTGTGGGGAGTCCGGAAGCGTGAAGGTCTGCTCGATGCCCTCCGCCTGACAGAAGGTCCTCAAGAGGTCGGAGGAAAACTCACCACCTCTGTCAGAGTGCAGACGCAGGACAGGAAGATCCGTCCGGAAACGGCGGCGGAGCTGGAGACGAACCGTGCGGATCCAAGGGATCAGAACAGCAGGGACCTCACCCTTGGTGCGCAAGGGGAAGACCGTGGTGTAACGCGAGTAGTCGTCGACAACCAGCAAAAAATACCGCTCACCGCCCTGACCACGAACGCGGGCTGGGCCCCACACGTCCAGGTGGAGGGTCTCCAGAGGAGCCTCTGTCGGGGGGAACGAGGAGGAGTGAGGAGCGGCGCGCTGCCGCCCCTCGACGCAAGGAAGGCAAGGCGGCGCAGGCGAGGCAGGGAGGGGAGGGAGGGACCTGGGAAGACCGGACACAAGGAGGCGACGGTGCATGCCACGAAGGCGTGGCAAGGAGGGGTGACCCAGGCGGTGGTGCCAGAGAAGAGTCTGGTGCGACAGGGAACGACACTCACAGGCGTGGGCCACCAGACCTGACGCAGACACCTGACCGACAGCAGCTACCTGGGGAGACGCAGTGGTCAGTGTGTAGAGACTCGACCCCGGCCGACGGGTGAACGTAGCCAGGTGACGGCCGGTCCTGGAGCACGTGCAGATCGCCACACGCTGTCCGCCAGGGGTAAAGGTGTCAACCCACTGATCCTGGAGGACAGCGTTGCTCACCAGGTTCGTCGAGAACGAGGGGAGGTGGAAACCCGACAACGAGCCAGACGGAACCGCCGGACAAGGGAGGACAGTGGTGGACTGGGCAAGGACTGGGCCCCCAGAGGGGTCAGCCAAGGAGACTGGGACCGGTGCAGGAAGCGGTGTGAGCTCAGTACTGTCACGAAAGAAGCAACGGGAAGCACCTGAGTCAAGGGTGAAGGTGTGACAGGCCTCAGCCGGTGCGGTACCTGAGAGAGCAGTCGCTGTGGGTGCTGTACCTGAGAGAGCAGACTCGAAACCAGCCGGGACAGCACTGGAGGGAGCAAGTACAGGGGGCACCATACCAGAGAGAGCAGACTCACTAGTACCAAGGGCAGCGGGCTCTATACCTGGGTCAGGCGGCACACACAGGTAACAGTCTCCCTCGGCACTAACAGTCAATGCATACATGGCAGCAATAATAGCATCATAGTCAAGAGCAAAGACATCAACACCAGCCCTCATGAGCTCAGCCCAGCGGGGGCGCTCAACATCCGCACCCATCTCCTCACGCCAAGCGTCGTCAAGGCGGGAGAAGCAGCGGTACGGGGTGTGGAACCTCCCACACGTCTGTCCCTTGCGGTCACCTGTGCGAATGACATAAGAACAGCGGACACTGGCCCCCGACGTCCCACGCTGAGCAAGCCACTCACGAAGCTGCTGGGTCGTCTGGGGACGCTGCTGCTGCTGGGAGCTCTGGCCAGAGCCAGTGCCTCCACTCCGACCTCCGCCGCCACCACTACCACCGCTCCGACCGCCACCGCCACCACCGCCACCACCGCCACCGCCGCCACCGCCGCCGCCGCCACTACTGCCACTGCTCCCTCCGCCGCCCCCGTCTCCACCACCGACCCCACTCCCACCAGCGCTCCCGCCACCGCTCCCTCCAGCACCGCCTCCCCCCCCACCTCCCCCACCTCCTCCCCCACCAGCGCCACCACCACCACTTTTGCCCCCCTTGCCCTTGCCGGTGCGGCGCCTCCCACCAGGAGTAGAAGCAGCGCCAACAGACTCAGCACCAAGGAAGTCAACAGCAGCAGCAGCAGCGTAGGAGGGAGCGAGGGGAGAGGGAGAACACCCCTCAAAGATGGGGGTGCGAGGAGCGCCACGAGCAGCACCGACAGCTACAATGCTCTTTTCGGCCGCGAGCAGGTGCTCCTCTAGGAGGGCGACTGTGAGCTCAGTGGGACAGCGAGCAAGGAAGTGGTCTCGAACTGAGCGGAGGGTGTCAGGCCCTCAGATTCGTTTTGAGCCACGCTTTTTAGACAATGTTGGTCCCTGGAAAAGCACTTTCTATCAGTGTTGACAAAAAAAAAAAACCCTGAAAAATCAGTGTTGTAGTGGAAAAAAAAACTTCCCGGTCAGTGTAGGTACAAAAATGTAGGCTGATTGTGACTGACTGATAACAATGTCAAAAAAAGCATGGTTACAAAAGATTGGGGAGGAGAGTTCAACATAGATTCAATCACACGGACATACATAAAACAAACTACCTACCTACCTACCTTGTACCTACCTACCTCCTTTCCTATCCTATCACATATCATCCCCCTCATCATCACTATCTTGTTCCTTATCTTCCTCATCCCCAGCCTCTACCTCTTCCTTCCCCTCCGCCTCCTCTCATCCTGCCTGGCTATGGTGCAGGTGTTGAATGGCTTACGCTTCTTGTAGTTGCGCTAGATCTCGACGATTTCGTCCCAATTGGGATCGTACTTGAGCAATGACATGCACATCAGGTCGCTCAGACGAGCATCCTTAAGGCTGCCTCGCTGCCAGGACTTGAGAATGTTCTGGCGCGAGAAACCGCGCTCGCACTCAACGGTGCTCAGCGGCAAAACCGCCACCGCCACCCACAGCCGCACCAGGTTAGGGAAGTGATCCTGCCAGTCATTAGTCTTGAGGATGGCAGTGAGCCCAGTGTGGAAGCCGCGCTCACTCTTCGGTGCACCTGCAAGTACGGGAATAAGCAGCCGCAGCTCCTTGAATGCTTTCTTCTTCTCGATGCCTGCAGTCACTCATAAGGCAACGAACAGAAGCAGAGATAGAAAGAAAACGTTAAAATCAGGGGAGGAACAAAGAACTTACGAGAAACTATAAATATTCCATCCATTTAAGAGATTTCAACATACAACAATGAGCTTACCGGACAAGATTTCATCGTTGTCCTCCACCCCAAAGAGAGTGATCAATGACTCCAGAAACTCATTACACTTTGCATGGCGCTCATGCCTGCCATAAGGCCAGCTGTCGGGAGTGAACAAGCTCACGCCCGACAGCTTGTCAAGGTCCCCCAACCGATCCAGAAGGTTGGCCACAATGAGCTCCGCGAACTCGGTGCAGATGTCGAGACAGGCGTCGTGGTGCCTGGGTCCTGGATAGTCGACCAACTTCTCCTCGTGCAGCGTGAACGTGAAGGTGGTTGGCCTCCCATCTGAGTCAACGCCCTCGATGCTGACGTCCCGGGTGCCGTTGACCCCATGGTTCTCCAGCCATGGTGAGAGCTTGGTGCTGAGACCGCCACCGAAATCGTCCCCGCAGTCCACGTAACGGGCCTCAAGATGGTCCGTTGAATCTGCGCATGAACAGCAGACAGATCAAGCTGGGGTGGAGGCAAGGCACAATCAGAGTACAAACATAGGTTAGATTAAAATGTATACGGACAAAACATGGATCCATACATGTACACAGAGGGAGCTGGGCATGAGCACTTGATACGCACCTGTTGTCGCTAGAACGTCCTGCTCAAGACATTCATCTGGTCGAGGACGTCAGATAGGAAAAGGAGCAGAAAGTGAAACCTGTACGACGTCACCACAGTGTAAAGTGTCGAGTTCCACTCCTTGAGCATCGTGATCACTGCGGGCATGACCGCCACGAACCTGGCGATGGCATCACCACGAGATAACCACAGAACGTTGTGAATGCCCTGCAGCTCCAGGTTGGTCTCGGTGAAGACTTCCTGCAGGTCCCTGAAATGCTGATGCCAAGGACCAGATCTGCCCAGATGCTCGGCGATTGCACGGACGGTGGTATCGATCATGTTGAAGACGGGCAGGCTCTCTGCCGCATCCTTTGCCGCAAGTGCCTCACAGCAACCACAAGCAAGCGTAAACTCAATGTTACACGTTGAATATTAATGCCAATTAAGCGAAACGTTCAAGACAATACAAGATAATAAAGCAAATGAAAGCAGGAAACGAGCTTCGCATACCAGTGGGCAATGCAGTGACAAGATACGAGGTGCGGAATGCGAAGACGCAGCCGTGCCACCAAGCCCGACTTCGATCACATCATCACGGACGCCCCATCAGTACTGATGCCCGCGATGCGCCGAATGTCCACACCACAGGACTCAAAATGGGACAGCAGAAATTGCAGAAAGGACGCTACATCCGCCTTGTCGACGGTCAACAATGCCATGAACTCCGTAACGACGCGGCCGTCGCGGATGAAGGTGGCGAAGAGAATCAGATGTTGAGAAGGCGCGGAACCAAGAGGGCAACGCGCATACGGCATCCGGCGAGGCAGATGAATCAATGGAGTCGCTTGTATTATTGGCTGGTGACGGGAATAAAACTCCAAGCAATGCGTGGTTCCTCGAGACCAGCGCAACACAACACATGACGCATTTGGCGCCACTCCTCAACAACATTGGTGCACTGGGAGACATTGCACGTGTGGACTTTGGAGACGGCAAATTGTTGCCGGTGGTTAGAGTTGGGAATACTCGTCTCATCATCGATGGCGGACCGGTGGAAATCGCGAATGTGCTTCATGTCCCGGGGTGGAAGGAGAATCTTCTTTCCGTCATGCAATTTGCAAGGAAAGGCGTGACCGTCGCCATCAACGACACGAAGATGAACCTTTTTTGGAAGGGGAAGCAATTCACACAAAGCGTTCTCAACGGACACCTCTACCAGCTCAAGACGCACCCAAAAGCAGCTTCATCCTATGTGACGCAAGGCTCGAAGCCGACTCTTAAGGTGTGGCATAATCGGCTTGCGCACGCCAACTACGGGTGAGTCAAGGAGTTGGCCGACAAAGGACTTGCAAGGGGCTTCGACTTGACAATGAGAATTCAATCCTGTATCACTTGGTAATCAGAGCCGTTCTGACTCGACAACTCTCGGCTAAGTAGCGGTCACGGAAAAATCGCCTTGAAAACCGCAGGGGCGACCAATTCGACGGCGACTTCTAGTTAGCACCAGTTTCGCGCTTTTTGTTTTAACCCCCTCACGTGGTTTTTTAACATGATGGGTTCGCCGGTGACAACCGATGTTACGCAGCAGCCCTTCTCGCAAATTGCCAAGATGGGAGCAGAGATGCGAGTGGTTACCAAACAATCGCGAGCAACTCCGAAACGAACTTCTGCGCGTTATGTAGCTCTTCACAACCATGTCGGTTCTTGCTTCGGCGACTTCGCAGCAGTCGCATATCGAGGTTCATCATATCGAGGTTCCAAAACTCTGCTCGCCAAAATCGTCCGACCTCGGCGATTGGAAATCAGACGTCAAGCGATTGCTTGTAACACGCAACAATGTTGATACGCGGTCCGACTCTGGAGTGGGTCGGAAGCAACGGTAGAATTTTCCAGTGCAAAACCATGTGGCAGCAGTTTTGGGCAGACTTGCTGAAATGTTTCGAGTCGAAAAATTCTACTTATATTGCACGTAAAGAAAAACTACTTAACCATCGGTAATATGGGAGTGTGGCGCAATACACGCGGAAGATGGAAGAATTTTGTAACTGTGTTTCAGACATTACCGAGGGAAAAACAATTTAGTCCTACATTGTGGGGCTGAAAAACGATATTTGTCGCCACGTTGCAGCAGCTACTACGAGATCGTATCGACCGCGAAGCCTTTTTACTTAGTCAACGCCAGAACACGACGACCCCATGTCGCCGGAACACAACGACCCTAAGTCGTCGGATCATGACAAGGGGACCGTTCGTCTTCAGCCATGTTCGCCGACCCCATGGAAGTCATTAAATCTGACGCGAAGTGTTGCGTTTTTTGCGGCGCAAACGGACATCGAATTGTCGACTGTTTTCACATGAAACTTGCACATGCAGCACTTCAAGCTCGAGAGAGTGGCAAAAATGAGGACAAAGGGTAATAAAACGCATCTCGCGAGCAATCACGGATAGTGCTGACGATAATAAAAAGATCTGAAAGCATGAGCGCGATCTGGACCAAAGCCCGATCGACAAACAGGATTGGGTGCGAAATTTGGAGCATCAAGGGTGAAACCCCAAGCCTCTTGGCCGGGCTTTATCAGAGGGATTCGTTGAGGAAACAAAAATCTTTGCGAAAATAGACTCGACCAAGGCGCGAACACCCTAATCCGACCTTCCACTTCGCCATCCGCAGCTCCAGTTCTCTTCACTCCGATGCCGGACGAAAATCAGGTTGGCAGCAAGGTTGGGCACCTAAAGCACGTTCTTGAGGCCCACCATCTTCCCATCAGCACCCTTAAACATGGCCTTGCCCATGCCTTTCACCTCTGCTTGCTGCCCCAAAGCCGATGTGACATGCTTCACCGGTGACGGTTCGAGTTCGGTGAGCAAGTCCACACGAGGTGTCATGCTATAGGTAGCGCCGCTATTAATCACCAAATAGTCCAGGTGTTATATTCACAGTAGGCTTCAATGTGCCTAAAACGAAAGATAGAGTGCACAGTCGGATTTCGGCACAGCAGATTTAAACGTTCATAGCGTTCTGGTCACTGCTTCAAATGACCTGATTCAACTTGGATCTGGAGCGTTTTGAAGTCACCTACAATAGGCAATTTAGATCGCACGATTTCACCAAGTATTGACGGCACAGCGTCGGTTTGAACGAACGGCACTATGGCAGCCACTATAGTCTTAGAACACAAGATAGGAAGAGTTAGGAAGAGTTACGAGTTGGGAATGACTCCCAGCTCCTACAAACCCCAAGAGCCAAGGTACAGTGATGTGGAACAGTGCCAGACTGTCCCCAACCACGAAGGGTCTCGAAACTACCCTTCACTAGGGCCTACACCAAGTGAAATGTTACACTACACAAAGTAATGTAACTATCTTCAATTTCTTGAGGTGTACCCTTTTGGCGAGCTTCGCGATCACTTGAATGTTGACACCAGGGCTCGGGTTCTTCATCACAAACTCATCCTTGAGTTCTTGATGGGTCTGCTGCACACACCTGCGACACGCCGAACGTTCGACAAGCGAAAAAATAGAAACCGCGCACGACAAAATAGAAACTGCGCGGGACACACAAAATGACCGCGTAACACGCGACTAGCGATAACTCGCTATTGACTTGACACACACACTCGACATCATGACCCATCATTCACACACTATTATAAGCATGAAATATATATTTATTTCATGCACTCATACCATTCCATGCACACACGCATGCACGCACACGGA